AACCCCCCCCCCCCTCCCCCCCCGCTCCCCCCCCTCGGTGTTTGCCATCGGGGTTGGGTTTTCGTCGCTTGGCAACGACGTTGTAAAACAAGCCGCCCCCCCCGGTGTTTGCCATCGGGGTTTGGGTTTTCGTCGCTTGGCAACGACGTTGTAAAACAAGCCCCCCACTCGGTGTTTGCCATCGGGATTGGGTTTTCGTCGCTTGGCAACGACGTTGTAAAACAAGCCAATTCACTTCGTGAACTCGGCAACCAGGTTACCGTTTTGTTTTTTTTACCTCGGATTTTTTTTTTGGCGGTAACCATAATGGTGGTCGAGTAGATCATGTTGTGCGGGGTGGAGAATCCTCACTCCGCGCAACGGGGGATGATCGCGCCACGTTGTGTTAAAATGGTCAAGCTTCCTCGAGGCAGTTACACAGTGCTTACAACTGTCTCTGGAAGTGAAAGCACCAGAAAATAAATTAAGTCATACGTAGCTGTCATCCGTACGCAAGGAAGTAAGCACAAGATGCCGAACACCCTTAGCAGGATGGCAGCTCACCCTTCATGCGACTCGCCAAATACCTCACGGCGCTTCGCGCTTGGTGATGTGAGAGCCTGGTCCGGTGAGAACCCGGCATGCTCCGTCCCGGCTTTGTAGGGATGCGAGGTCAATGGTCAAACGACTACGGCATGCACGACTATGAGTACACCCCCCCCCCCCCTCCCCCCCCGCCGCCATGAACTGTAGGACGTCGAGGAGGACTGGCCTTTGATGATCTACGACCACGCGGGCAACGACTACAACATCACCATGAAGCCGCGAGACTTGGTCCTGTACGAGAGCGCAACGTGCGTGCACGGCCGCCCGTCGACGTTCCACGGGAACTACTACGCGAACGCCTTTGTACACTTCAAGCCCAAGGACCCGGAAAAGTGGTCCAAATTCATTGAGTGATTTGTAAAAGCTTGGGTTGATTTCACAGCCCCCCCAAAGAAGGGAAAACCATTGCATCCCTTTTTGATGAACACGACGTACTATAAAACGAGAAGAGAAAGATGCACCGTCCTGGCGGGAGGTGGGAGCGACTTGACGCCAGGTCTCCCAGTAGTATATTCTGCGGTGCCGTGCGTGAGCCCAACGCTGTGGCCGGCTCGTGGTGATGTTCGATAGCGTTGAAAATTAGAGTTGAAAATGTAACGAGACGTTGCGTGCTACCCACCGTCGCAGCAGCATGCCGAGAGAGTTTGCCGGCCGACAGGATGAACCTGTGATATTTGCGTGTGTGCGTCTTCCATGCTTAGAACGGCTATTAGTGATGGATTGATGTGGTGTACGTTCATGAGAGACGGTGGGGTGCTCAAGGCCGATGCAAGTCCAGGGCGTGTACACGCGTGAAATAGACGTGCAAAATACCTTTCTAGGGAGCGGTGAAGGTTGCGTTCGACGAGGCGTGAGATGATGTGCGATTTTGTCCCCGGAGCTGGTGATCGTCCGCCACCGCTACTTGGTAGGGTGGGGGGGGCGGAAACTGCGGTTGGACGTGATGGTTTTTCCCCGCAACTGTTGGTTCTCCGCAGCACCACCGCTTTGTGGGGGTGGGGCGGGAAGCTGCAGGTGATGAGATGACTAGGTTACATGTGTCAGTCAGGGCGGGCGGGTTGTGTGAATCGTTTGTGTTTTTTGTTACATTTCAAATGACGTACCTTTTTCTCCTTTGCTTCTTTCATTCATCAATGTTTTTTTTTTTAATCTAATTGCCACCCCCATCTTGGACATTGCACGCGGCGACGGAAGTCGAACGAATGAGGATGCAGGAGCACGCGTAGTATGTACCTCGTCCACAACCGCAAATTGATGAGTGTCTTCGTAAACTGAGACTGATTTGACTTGACACGTGGCTAAAGGAGAGCTGTGAACGGAGCCGGCGACCAGACGGGAACGATGGAGCTGACCCTTGCCACCACAACTAACTCCCGAGCGAGCGATAGACGATGAACACCGCGCGTATGGGGGGGAAGGCTCGCCCGGCTCTTCATCGCACCCTCCCGCTTGTGTGTGGATTGTTCCCTCTTTACTTACTACGGCGCCTGGAAATGAATCTCACCTGACTATGGTCTCGGCCTCGCTCATCGCTTACTTAGCTTAAATGGATGATCAGCGCACCTCCGCGTGAGAAAAGTTACCAAGCACCGACGACTTTTTTTCTCAAACGCTGTACATCGGAATGGGCAATGAAAGGGAGGGGAGGTGAATGGTTCCTTCGCGTGTTTCAATGGCCTCGGGGGTCTCTATCGTCTCAAACGCGGTACAAGGGTAGTCACGAAATGGACAAAGAAAGGTACAGAAAAGAGCCAAGGAGGAGGCGGAATGGGTTCTTCGAGTTTCGTTGCGCACGAGGAGAGTCTCTTCTCACCAGAATTGACCTAGAGAGACGCTAGATAAAAAACCCACATCATGCGTTCCTACGCAGAAGGACGGCGCGTACGCGGCGTGCGCAGAGGGACGGTTTCATTTGACACGGAGCGGAGCCACACGAGACCAAGTTGGGCTTAACAGGCTGGCAAACAGCAGTAGCACAAGAGGCTCTTTCAATTGCACCACTTCCTTCCGTAGAATAACTCTCGCTCGTCCGCTGCCCCCCGGAACGCCTGTCTGTCCCTCTCTGAACCGCACCTCTGGCACCCACAAACTCGCACGTTTTTTCATGGGAAATAGACACAAGTGGGTATACCCACCCCTTTCTCGGACAAAAGTGGGTACTCGAAAATCCAGCTTGCGCGCACTCCATAGGCGACCCCCAAACGACTCAAAACCCCATTCTGACACCTACCTGGGCGACACAGCCAGGGACCATACACAGCATGGGCATCGATTTTTCCCCCACTTTTAGGCACACCTTTGGCCCTAATACCGCCGACGCGCGCAAGGCCTCACCAGAGTGCCCACTTATGTCCGACATCGCGGTGGGTATACCCACCGGCGTCAACTATTTTTTTCATGTACCCACTTGTGTCTGTATTTTGACCCACTTTTGTCCAAATTGTACCCACTTTTTTTGTCCACTTACGGACGGCGGAAATCGAGCGGAAATCGACCTCCACGTCACCGCACGGCAGAACATCGAATAGACTCGGAACGTCTCAGAACCTCCCAAAACCATATCCATGGCATCTTTCCTATCCATGGCTGCCGACTGCGGACCGACCACGGAGGAACATGTCAGAAACATGCCAGACCCCTTCGGTACCGGCACGGGAAGATACCAGGCACGGGAAGATACCCGCGGCAAGCCCGGCAAGCAGCGCACTAACGGCACGCCACACATAAATGCGTGACACACAACGGACAACACAACCAACGGGTCGCGCGTACAGAACAAAAAGACGCGCAAACAGCAACAACACACACATACACAAAAACACTAACCACCACGACAAGTGCACACCGACTCGTCACGGCAGCAGTCGGCTTGCCGCGGGTATCTTCCCGTGCCTGGTATCTTCCCGTGCCGGTACCGAAGGGGTCTGGCATGTTTCTGACATGTTCCTCCGTGGTCGGTCCGCAGTCGGCAGCCATGGATAGGAAAGATGCCATGGATATGGTTTTGGGAGGTTCTGAGACGTTCCGAGTCTATTCGATGTTCTGCCGTGCGGTGACGTGGAGGTCGATTTCCGCTCGATTTCCGCCGTCCGTAAGTGGACAAAAGTGGGTACAATTTGGACAAAAGTGGGTCAAAATACAGACACAAGTGGGTACATGAAAAAAATAGTTGACGCCGGTGGGTATACCCACCGCGATGTCGGACATAAGTGGGCACTCTGGTGAGGCCTTGCGCGCGTCGGCGGTATTAGGGCCAAAGGTGTGCCTAAAAGTGGGGGAAAATCGATGCCCATGCTGTGTATGGTCCCTGGCTGTGTCGCCCAGGTGTCAGAATGGGGTTTTGAGTCGTTTGGGGGTCGCCTATGGAGTGCGCGCACGCTGGATTTTCGAGTACCCACTTTTGTCCGAGAAAGGGGTGGGTATACCCACTTGTGTCTATTTCCCTTTTTTCATCGTTGCCGCCACTGCTGCCGACACAACAACAGCAGCCTGGTGCGATTTCGCACGCATCAAGATGAGCTACTGAGACCCAAGATGAGTTACTGAGACCCATCTATCAAAAACGCTACCATTATTTTTCCCCTCCCTCCGTGACCCCTCCTCGATGACCCGAAGGACCACAAAGGCTCGGTACACCATTCCTCCCTGGTTTCCACTTCTTCTTTCTGCCTCTCGACAAATCAGAAACAGAGCAGCAGGCAAACCAACAATCAACCGCGGCATCTATCCGACCGCCGCGGCTCGACAGCCGAACGACTGAGCTTCCAGCCGCAACAAAGTACGACGAAGCTGGACCCCCGCCACCAATCTCGATGCTCGTCTTCTCAGATACTGCCATTGCCATACCAGCTACTCCTACGTGGACTATTTAGTCCATGGACCAAGCCAGGCCAACAGCTTAACTCGGCGGTCACGACATACCGGACGCCTATTAGCTGCAGCAGTTGCCAGCTTTCCCTAAGCGTGAAACACCACAACCACTACCGCTCCCTAGAATACCCACTACGATCAACAGCGCCGCCCGCCCAAAAGACTGACAAGCATATGTCGCCTTTCATGAAAATGCAAGACCCCCCCCAAAAAAACACGCTTGTGTTGAACCCCTAATCAGCAAAGAGTATCGCTTCTACAACAGCGCGGCCCGCAAGTGCCCCGCCGCTTAACAACGCGAACATCTAGATAACGCACTGCTGCTGTTCTCCAACTCCCGCTTGCTCTTGCTTGCTTGGCCCGCGTCCCCACACAACGACAGCAGCAGCAGCAGCAGCGGCAGCCGCTGCAGCGCGCGGGCCAAACTAGTTGTCGCGAGGCGTCCTGTTAAAATTGTGTGCAACTAATCAAATCTATCGATTTCGTTCTCGGGCGGTGCGGCATGCCAACCCAAAGAAAGCTAGCTACAACGAGACAATAACAGCAAACACAACAACAGCAAACACAACAACAGCCAGAGAAGACACGCAAACATCACGCACACGCATCTCACGAGCAAAGCCTAATAGTTGGGTCTACCGGTAGACAGATGCAACTTTGCTCCCCCACCCCCCCGACCCTCCGAGCGATGGGGGGGAATATCAACTGCCTGGAA